ATCAGTTTTCCAATTAATATGCTTCCCTCACTCTTTACCTGTGAATAAATTAATAGCAGCTGAAAAAGAATAAAGGCAGAAACACAGAGGAACAAACAGTGCAATAGAGCAGAAATTATATTTGCCTGACATCTGCACAATAGAGATGGGAGGCATGTGATTTGAAACCAACTGGAATTTCAAAGTAATGGACATTCTACCTGGATGGCTTGTGTGGAGATGGCTGTGCAGCAAGATACAGTGAGGTGGGCTTGTTTGGGGATCTGTGTGCTGGTGTCATATTAGAAGGATGTGCATAATGATACCTTCATGTATTTTGAAAACAGTGAGTGAATTAACAAATTTAAAAGAGAGTTTATGCAAATGGTGCAAAATCCAAAGAGGACAAGAGGCTATTCAGGGGCACGCATGCCCTCCCTGGAGTGCACTGTAATACAATTTTATTGACAATACTCAACTTAGCACCAAAATAGGCTTTTTCAGATTAGTGACATGTACTAAAACAATGAATAAAGAATAAATCTTCCTTTTAAATGTTTATATATATATGTTTATACATATGCATATGTGTATATACATATATATAGTTATATATGCAAATATGTATCATGGATGGATGCATGGACAGTTGGAGGATGGAATGTTAGTTTCAAATCCAACTGCCCTCCAATTTCAAGAGACAAAAGATGTTAAGAGGAAAATCTATCTTCTATTCTACTTTTTTTATAAGTGAGTACTATAATTTCAAGATTAGAAATCTAGGTGATAAAATAGTTCTCAGTATGCAATCTCAAGGTTTTCCAGATAAATAAGCTTTAATCTTTAGACAGAATATTCCTTAAGGCCAGAATCCTGGTCAAAACAATGACAGAATGTATCACAGTTGATGGCCACCCTACATATTTTTTCTCATCAGCTAAATAGCTTTTCTTACTTTTTAGTTTGCCAGTAGGACTTAAATCAGAGGAATTGTAGCAATGTAAATGATAATAATAAAACTCTGACCAAAACACCAAATAATATATTTAGACACAGGATTAAAAGAAAAGGAAAATTTATTTCTAAAATGCCCACATGAGCCCCAGTCCTGGTGGTCACATCAGGACAGACAGAAAACCTACAGGTTACATGGCAAGCTTTGGTCCCTGTATCCTTCGCTAGGGCATACATTCACCTATGAAAACATATTGCAGGATAAATCTATTGAAACAGCACCAGAAAGAGGCTGTCAAGAACCAGTCTAATTAATTTGTCTATTAAGAATATTTTATTTTAGAGATGATCTTAATAGAAGGATATGCTGATCACTCACATATGAAACTGACATTAAAAAAAATAAATTTCAGCAGAAATGAGCATCATTTTCAGCCACAAAAAGCAAACATTTCTTCTTCTAAAAACTTGAGTTTGAAGGCTTAAACTAAAAATCTGCCAGAGCTTTTGACACAAGTTCTATTTGGTAGAGAAAATTATAAGAGAAAACAGGAAAAGGTTGCCTCCACCCAGGCGAGGGTGCCTTTTGTTCCTGTGTGACCCAACCTTCATGAGACTGTTTGTTATTCACCTCATTACAAACATCTCTCTGCACAGCAGGTGTTGGGTCGGAAGAGGACACGGTGTCCAAGAAACACTGCAATCAGGTTAGAAAACTCCCTGGCGACACATTCCCTTTCAATCAACTGGGAGTGGCTGGCACTGCCCCTGAGCTGTCTGCCCATGAAATGGTTGTCCTTTAAGTCACAGTGGAAACACTTCTCCAAACCACTCCCCCTGGAGGTGTAGGAGCCACACTTCTAATGACGGAAAGGAAAGCTGTCCTAGCCTTTCTGTTCAGGGAAATAGACCATTTCCTTACAATTGCAAAGTTCTACTCCCTATAAGATGGGTTTTAAAAGTGTCTTGCATGGAAGAAGTAAAAAGCTAACCTTTTCAAACAATATGGCTTCTCTCTTACTGACCAACTTTACATTTCCCTGTATGGCCCCGGAAGATGACTGGTTAGCCAGAGACGGGTAAGATTCCTCAAGGGAGGAACAACCTAAGACAGGCACAGTCGCAGGGGGGCCATCAGGTGACAAATTGGGGATCAACAGAGGTGAGGCTTAGAACCCCATCCCCCTGTTTTGAGAGAAATCTTCTGCATCCGTGGACGTTTTGTTGCCCTTGTTTAGCTTGGATTAATACTTAGTCTACAGGCACACACCTCATCATCTACATTTGCCCTCTTACAGCACTAAACTATGTTTACTACCTTTATCTTGCATCTACCTACCACTTCAGCATTTTATTAAAAATAATAATAATAATAACAATAATAATAAGGGAGAAATCTGGGATTCACATATAAATCAAGTATAAAAATCAAACAAATATTCATATTTGACCAGATTGTTTATAGTTCATAATGCGTGATCAAAACCGAAAGTTTCTGTGATGAATGCCCTTGTACTGTTCACCATGTAAGAACTTACTCACTATGTAAGAACTTGTTCACCATGTAAGAACTTGTTCGTTATGCTTCAGAAGATTGGAGACTGTTGAGAATTAGGCTTGGGGTTGATTAATTATTGTGCATTGAGTCCCCTATACAGAATTTTATTGATGTTAACAACCATTTGATCAATAAATATGAGAGATGCCCTCTCAAAAAAAAAATTTCTGAAGCTAGATCTTATATTTGAAAAATATTTATTACTTTCTAAGTATAAAGTGAGATTTTGCAGATATAAATATATGTATTGTATATATGTATGTCTGTGTGTCAATACATATTTGTATAAAAAATTCCAACTGTATTTATATTCAGTTCTATTACCAGATGCACTGAAGCATTGCCTTGAAAAATATATGTGCTTTAGATTGAATGGCTGACTATTNCAACTGACCTTGGGGAGCCTCCTCTTGTTCTTAGGCTTCCACCAGCCCTCTCCACACCACCATGTCCCATTACTGGGGCACACAGGAACTTTCCTGTCCCTTCTAAGACACATAATCCTGGGAGTTATGAACCCTGTCCAGAATCTTCCAGATTTTGGCCTGGAGAGTATAAGTCAGAGAGGTACATAAAAATCTCACCTCCTGCTCTATTCCCTCTCCCTTTCTTCCCACAGGTCCTGGGGTAGGAGGCTGGCTTTCTTCTTTCTCTGGGTCACACCCTGAGTCCTGTCACTTTTGGGCATATGTAAGACTCTATCCCCTGAGGCCTGGATTTGGTCTTAGAAGTTGAAAGAATTTGGAGAAATCCTTTCCTCTCTAGAAATCTCTATTTTTCAAGATTTCTGCCCCTGCAATGAGGATCGTCTCCCTTAGGGAGTTCCATCCTTTCCTTTCCCAGAGCCATGACTCAGCCTGGCAGGAGGGGTAGGAAGGAGGATGTTTAAAGGGAAAAGAAAGTACATCCATTTCTTATTTGCAAAATAGTTCACTGCTACACAAGGTAGAGTGAATTCTAATGACAGGATGACAAATGGGGATGGCTCTCGATCTTATAGATGCTTTAATGAACCAGCCACGCAGGGTTGGTGCCCTTCTGGACCAGCTCTGAAGATAGTGATGTTAGTTTTATTGGTGCCATTATCGATGTACTAAATAGCAAGAGAAAACAACCTAACATTTGAACAGTGTCTAGGGAGACCCTTTATTTATTGTTCTTGATAGTTTATGCTACACACTCATTAAGATACTGTTCTTCCCCTGAATATTGACTCATCAGTAGAAAACACAACGTTGCCAACCATTAAATAGATGAGATTCCTTTTTCCCTTTTCTTCTCTGGAAATCATTTTATTTAGTACTCATGATAAACTAGACTGGACTATAAGGTAAAAAGTACACATTCATCTCTTCTCAAATGGATTTTCCCCTTATTTCCCACATCCCTCATTACTATTCCAGATTTCTGCTTCCCTTCAAGTCTGGACTTCTGGAAGAGGGTTAGGCAAGCTGTCTCCTACATCTTGTCCCCTGTTCATCCCATGTTTATCCGGCTCCCACGCTTACTTTCCATTGACCCCTCACAGAGGCATCAGTGACCTCCTGGGTATGGAAGTCAAGGGACACCTATCTGTATTACTCATTTGTTGTAGCAACTATGGCTCATTCCCTTCAAATTGGTGTTTTTTCTTCCTCTTGGATTCTTTGACATTCCTGGGTTCCCTCCTACCTCACAGGTTGTAACTTTTCTGTCTCTTTCAGGCTCTTTCTCCTCTTCTAGTCCTCTTAAAATTAAGAGTTATCTGGAATCCCTTCTTTTCCTTTGACATGCCAAGGATCTTATCCATCTGATGCTTAAATTCAGTCTAGATTCACAATCCTCAAATTTTTGTGCATTACGTCTGGAAAAAAGGATGAAAGCTTCAAATGACTTAATCTTTTCTGCTTGAGTATCTTCCTTTCTCACCACCTTCATACAATGTTACAATGTTAAGAGAAATCATAAATTAACAGGGTTTTAATCAGAAAGCAAGATATTCTGTGGTGTTGGATTGAAGTGAAAGACGGGCTGGAAGTCAAGGGCCGTTCCTTGTTTGTTATGTAATCTTACACAAGTCACTTTAACTTTCTGGGCTTCAGACTTTAAAGACACAGGTAGCTTTACAAGATTGAGTGTGAATCCTGCTAAATGCATTTCATTTTCACAGTCTGGGCCACTCCTCACTTGTTTGGAAGTGGCATAAAAAAGCAACATTGGAAGGAAATGTTGCCTACAGAAAAATAAAATTTAATCTGAACACTGCTATTTACTCCTGCCGTTTTCTATTCTATTTCATTTATTGTCTTTTGGAACTTTTAGCAGGGAAACAAGTGGTCTCTTTAAAACAAATGAGGCAAGTGTTAGCTTAGTATTAGCTGTGGGATAGTAGAAGCAGTGGGAGGGACGTTAGGTTATAGCCGAGGCAATTTTCAGGTTGAAGACACTGCTGAGTGAGTTAGAAAAAGGCAGTCAGTGCGAGATTCATGCTTTAGGGGGCTTTTCTGTTGACCCTAATATATTTTATATGCAGGATTTGGGAATTCATAAGCCAGCAATGCAGCACTGTCCCTTTCCAGCAGAGGAAACACTTCAAAAAAGGTAATGCATTATATTTCAGCAGGAAGATTTTTTGCTTTTTTGTTTTTTGTTTATAAAAGATGAGTAATAATGTTTTCAACTATGGTAACTTGCAATAGGAACTCTGCCTGGGAAAAATCCTGGGAAAACTAAGGTTTGTGCCAGTTGACATGATGGTAAATATTTAATAGGTAGCTCTCCTGGGAAAAGAGAGTCCACTTTGCAGTGTTGGCTGATTTCCATAGTGTATGTCCCCATGACGGCCAATTCCAAGTATCAAAGGGATGATCTTGAACACAGAAGTAGGAAGAGGTGTGCAGAAGCATGCCATGACAGTGACCCCACAGATATACTAGACGTAAATTACCTTGAGAGCACAGGCAGTAATGAAATGTCATAAATAATTAGCAAGTGGTGAGTTTAGGACATTTGGTACCTTTGTTTTCAATATAATTTCTTTAATTGTAAGTTTATATAATTTATTTTTTAATAACGGCTATGTTTTCACGACTGGCTCATAGAATCTCCTCAAAATCTAAAAATGAGTTCCTGTAAGCTAGTATGACCAGCTCTGGCTCACCACTGGTTTGTCCTTACAGAATAAAGGAAAATTAATGTTAATGTTTACTCAAGTAGTATTGAGTTGTACTCAAGTTCTGAGATGTAGACACTTTGCTCCAGTGTTTTTTCATACTTGTTAATTTTCTAGAACATTATGTTACCTATCAATAGGTAACTCGAGAACAGTGATTCAAATCAATGCTAGATCAATAGATAATAGTTTTCTCTAAATTTGTGTGAGCCACATGAGATATATATATCTCTTTCTCCATCCTATCGCCCAAGAAAACACAGAGAAAAAGATATTTGCTTATTACATGACATGTTTTATAGACTGAAACATGTGTCTTCAATTTCATATGTTGAAGCTCCATCACACTGAGTGCATTGGTAGATGGTGCCTTTAATTAAGGTTAAATGAGGTCATAAGGGTGGGGTCTTAAGCTGACCAAATTGGCGTCCTTATAAGAGGAGGAAGAGACACCAGAGCTCTCTCTCTCCATGCAAGAACGCAAGTCAGAGGCCACGCACACAGCCAGAAGGCACTAGCTGCACACCAATGAGAAAAGCAGCACAGGAACCAACCCTGCTGACTCCTTGATCTTGGGCTTCCGCCTGCCAGAATTGTGCGCAAATGATGTCTATTGTTTAGTTTACCCTGTCTGAGATATTCTGTTATGGTAGCCCAAGCTGACTAACACAAAAATAATGAAATTGCATGCAATTCCACAGCAGTAACGTGATACCTGCACCTCAGGCTTTGTCAGGAATGTGCCCAGGAATTCCTCCCTGTCTGCTCCTCTGATTGATCAATTTCTCCTTAACCCCATAGGTCAAGGATTACCACCTCTGGGAAGCTCTCCTTGGTTTCACCAAATATGTTGTTAGCCCTTCTTCCCCTGTAAATGGCTCTATTATAATGATGGGCACAGTGTTTTGTCCCAATAGAAATCCTTTGAAGAAAGGTGGATTACACATTAGAAATTAAGATTCAGCATACTGTCTACCTGTGCATTCCATGGTAGCCTTTAGACACATGGGGTGGTTTACATTTAAACGTCAATAAAATTTCAGTAAAATTAAAAATTCAATATCCCATTTGCATTAGCCACATTTCAGTTACTTAATAACCATCTGTGGCTAGTGGCTACTGCACTGGACCTCAGATGTGGAACATTTCCATCACTGCACAAAGTTCTATTGCACAGACCTGCATTAAACTGCAAACAATTTAAGGTGGGGGGTGAAATCGCATATTTTTGTATTATTTCCCAGTACCTAGCCTAGTGCCTGCTCTACAATAGGCATTCATAAGTGTTAATTATATTATTAAAAAAAAAAATGAAACACTATTTACCTAGTGGTAGCTACTTAAAGCATTCATGTTTCCTAGATATTGGATACATAGATACATATACACTTACTTTCATTATTGATAAATAATAAACTAAAATTGAGCAATTTACATTTTCCCTGGGATGAGAACACCAACATGCTTTAAAAACATAATTATAGAATTCATCTCCCAGGTGTTAATATAGCAATCTATAGTTGTTAATTCAGAAGCACAATATCGATTCTAATTTATTTTTTCTAGGTCATCTCTGCTCCATTGTTCTATAAGTGACCCTACGGACTCATTAAATCTTTCAGCATGATATTTATGCAACCCTATTTAATGAGTCCTCCAACACCTTGAATTCTCTGGATCTCATACCTATTATTTTAGTGGCAAACTTCTGAGTTTAATTAATCGTATTCTTCATGGACTCAAAGGAGATCAGAAAAAGGTCATCTAATTGTATACAACTCTCTGCTTGCAGGCAGCCCTTTTGTGGACACATTTAAAGATCTTCAAAAAGACACAATAACTCTTGGGAATCTATTTAGGTATTTAGATAATCTTACTCTCAGAAACATTTGTTTCTTGCTTAAATCTTTCATCAATGAGCCATAAGCAGTTCCCTTCCTTCTAACTCCAGACCAAAAGGAGAACAGGGTCATTTGTCACACGCTATGGAGAAGCCCCTTCTGTGCCATGATGGTATTACCCAACCTTTAGATGTCCTAGTTACCTCAGGGTAAACACTAGGGATGAGTAAATATCATTTGCATGAATAAATGAAAACCATAAAAACAATTGCTTAACAATTAAAAATAGCCCTTAGTGCAAAGCCCAATGTGTTCTTAACTCCTCTCTCCTCTATTCAGTATATATATATATATATATCACTTTTCAAGTGGGAGAGATAGGTTTTAGTTAATAAGGCTGCTGTTCTAGGGCTATGAGAGGAGGATTTAAGAGGGGACAGTGTGGAAAGAAGAGAAGGAGACAAAAGTATCGGGGGAGCAAACCCATTTAGTCTCTAGTTTGAACTCAATACCAACACATACAATTGGGATGGCATGTGAACAGGGAAGGAGGCAGGGAGGAGAAAGTCAAGGTTGGGAGGAGTATAGGGTGTCCATCCTCAATCTTGATGCTTTAGAGAAGGCAGCTGAGCCTTTAACAGCCATGGACAGAGAAGGTTGCATCAAAATCGTTTTAACTTGCTCCTGCAGGCCACCCCACATCTCCGAGTCCCCCCTCTGCTTGGCACTGCTTTCCTGCTAGGTGTGATGAACAAAGAAAGCAGCTGCCTGCCTCTCAATGATGACAGATGCTGCCAACAGCAGCCTCCTGCAGGTGAGTCCTGATTCCAGAGGGCTGGACGTTTTCCAACATCTAGTCTTGGGAGATGTTCTTTGCCAAGACATTTGTTAAAAACAAGTGATTTGGGGAAACTTGAACATCGTGCCTATGATGTTTAAATCCCCTTGCTGTTGTGAGCAGTTTGGGGGCTAAGTCCCCGGCAAGATTTGGTTGTGATCTTGTGGAGCATGAGGTATGCCACCAGCAAATCAAACAGCATTTGGTGTACATAACCAGTGTCTCTCCCCTCTAACCACTCAGAGAAATCTGCTTCCTGCAACAGAGAGGCTGATTGTCTCTCCATTTCGCAGATGAGTATACTGAAGCACAGATAGTGTAAACTTATTGCATACTGTCCATGAAAGCTGAGAAACAGCTATCACACCCCTGCCACCTGTATCATAAAACCATGATTTCAGATATTTACTGAGAAAGCTGAAGAGCACAATACATGTGGTCTCCAAGGTTTGGCACTTCTTGTATGACCTTAGCAAAGTTCATTAAACTTTTTGAACCTTAAGTTTCTTCAGTTGCACAATGGTGAGAATAAGATAATACATGTGATGTACTTTGAAGGTGCTTGACAATGCAGTAAATGCTGAATAAATGCTAGTTATTTGTATTATTTAAGTGTCAGTAAAAAATTTTTGATGCCCTTCTATGTCCTCGAATGCTCTTTATTAATGCAGAGCACATAGGAATTGTGTTTTTTGCTCTTTCATGCTCCCTATTGAACCTGGCATAGACTAAAATAAAGTAGACATTTCATATATATTTGTATACATTTATAATTTCCCAATGCTCTATCATTAGTATTTTTAGAAATTGATCATACTATTGCTTTTCATATAAAGGTTCATAATACAGAAAATGAACTAACATCTGTTTTTGTTTCTTTTAAATTTTGCTCTACAGTGATTTGTATTCATTAAAAATAGGAGTAACTGTAGATGAAAGTATGACTAACCTGCCCAGGATCCCCCACTGATGTCTACCTGATAACAAGGAACATAGTTTTCATCAATGAAGATTTGCATTCATAAATTTAAAAATGTGCAATTTCAAGTATTTATGTGATGAGTATTCCTGGGATCCATCCAAGTAAAAAAGAAAAAAATTCTTTTCTGGCAAATGTGATTGTTTATGTGCTATCACTTTTTTTTTTATCAAAGAATCATTGGTAGACAATCTTACATTGGTTTCAAATATACAGCAAAGTGGTTTAACGGTTACACATATTATTAAATCCTCACCCCCTCTAGTGTGGTTACTGTTTTCAACATAAAAGATGTTATAGAATCACTAACTATATTCTCCATGCTGTACTACCATCCCTGTGACCAACTTATAATTATTGAGAATTTTTGTGTCCTTTTATACCCCTCACCCTCTGCACCCATCCATGCTAGCACCTCCCCCTTGGTGACCACTGGTCCCTTTCTCAGTGTCTATGAGTCTACTATTGTTTTGATCATTCTGTTTTGCTTTGTTTTTGTATTCCACAAATAAGCAAAATCATATGGTATTTGTCTTTCTCCACCTGGCTTATTCACTGAACATATTGCAAATGACAATATTTCTTTTTTTTTTGTATGGCTGAATAATATTCCAGTATGTATATACCAAATCTTCTTTATCCTTTTTATTCATGCATTTTGCTTTCTACTATAGTCTATCAATGATGTTTAAGATGAATAAGAAACATTTGTGGAAATATCAAACTCAGTACAAATTTTACTTTTCATATACTGCCATAAAAGGAGGACTTTTTGTTCTTTTTCAAATATAAAATCATGTAATTTTTTTTTTCTATTTTAGCAATGAGACCTATTTTTCCAAGGGAAGTGTGAAATTGGTTTATTTTTATGTTGCCTTTTATATGTGGGAAGCTAAAGGGACCAAACTAACTCTTTGATTTAAGGTTCTTTTAATGTCCAGGCATTGTGGGAATATCTATCTCTTTTGAAAATAAATATATCTGCTAAGCAGGAAGCTCAGTTGACAATCTGAAGGGAATACAAGTTGTGAACAAGCCATCACAAGCCTGGTAGAGCACAGCAACAAAAATGTAACATTTACTTCTCTATTGCAATTGTTTTGAAAAACAAAACCTGAGTCATGTGTTCTAAGTTCCACTGTCATTTACCTCCTTTGAGAGAAATCAGTATGAGAGTAAATGTTTCACAGTAACTCTCAAAAAGGACAGTAAGAACAAATACAACAACAACAAAAGAGCCAATGATGCTTATAATTGGTGATTTAAGATAGCATAAACATTTACAGCCAAATGAAGAAGACATTTTTCAAGGTCTGCCTGATGGCTTTCTGGAGAAATCAATATTATGCAGCCATCCTCCGCCCCACCTTGAGATGTCCACTTTATTACAAGGTCACTGGAGGAACAAGACTGTCACCATTGGGAGGACATGGATAGAATTCACAGCCAGGCTGTGGTTTTGCTCTTAAATGTCATTCTCTGCCTCTCTCTTTCTAGTGTCATGGTCAGCAGTAGAATGTACTACATCTCTGTTGGTCAAATGGGGCCCATGGACATGTGGCAGCAGCTGGCTCGAAATGCAGATTCCAGGTCCAGCCCAGACCTCCTGAATCAGAATCTGCATAGGATCTTCAGATAACTCACATACTACTAAAGTTTGAAAAGCATTTAACCACAGCATCACTGTAGGTGGTAACTGATGAGAGGAAGAGAAAACACACCTTTTTCTCAGTAGAGTTGTTTCCACTGATTCTTTGACATGTTTCTAAACTGTACTGCTTCACAGATCAACAAGTGCATAAAGACAAAGACACCAGAAGCCTCACTACAGAACTCTGCTTTCAGTACCTCAGAATAGAAACTTGATCTCTTTATATCACAATACGCCTTTTTTCCTCCCTGAAATGCACACCCATGGGAATGGCGTAGGCCAGTTTTCTTGTTAACAAAAGAATTCACTAGATTTCATGATGCATCTCCTCTAGCAAGTTTAAGTCCTCTAATTTTCAAGCTTCATTTTGCCCCAAATATAACCCCAGGATAAGCATCCCTATTACTGAGGTATTTTCAAGAGTGCATGAATCTAGAGAATCAAGAAATGCTGATGTACCTCCTCAACTCAAAATACCATGTGGGACTACAGTGACATTTTTAGAAGGAAGGGTGTGGTAAATTGGGTGGAGTAGGACAAGAAGACTCTCTGAGAGTTAATTTAATCCAATTAGATTTTAAAATAATCCATAGGAAGCAGGGATGTCAGAAGTAGGAATTTTTTTAATGTTTCAAAAGTGGAAATGGTAGTATGACTGTGAAAGAAAAAGACCAAGGTCAAAAAGGAAGCCAATTTTGTAAACAGAGAAATGAAAAGAAAAAAGGGAAAGAAGACAATATGGAAGAATGGAATTTATATTGGGAAGGAAGAGAACTATGAAGAAATAAATACTAGAGGAAGGTAGGTCATGAGAGGAGGCCATCATGGGTGGCTGGGAACTGTAGCAGGATAAAGATGGGAATGTAGAGACAGGGGGACCAAAAGACAAAGGAGCAAGTCTGTGATGCCTGTAAACTGAACGGCCACATGCCACCCTTCTCTCAAAAGCGACCCCTCCCATCCAGTCCTACCTGGCCGGAAGGACGGTGGTCACCACTTGAGAGCTTGAGGGTTGGGGGGAGTAAAGTTGGGGGAAACAGAGGGATCCTCATGGCAAGTTTCCGACAAGAATGAGGAGGAACCTTCCCCCTGTGTGGAAAAAAAGGGAGGCTGTCATTTTTGTGGCATTGAAGTAGATTTCCGGTCCTCTGTGGTTTCAAATTATTTGGCTGGGAGCTTTCTTGGAGTACCTTTTAGAATGGAGATTTAAGACCTCCAAGTCCTTTATCTACTCTAATACTTCCTAACACAAATGAAAATGAAAATAGAATTGGCCACTGAATTCTCCTTGGTTCTTCCCTACCTTTTGTTGGGATTAGACTTTAAAAAGGATCCAACTATTGCTTTTGAAATATTCTCCACAAAATCCCACTACTGTCAAGAAGCCTGATAAAAGATTGTACTGAATTATTGACAGCAGTTGAACAAGGCAGCCCAAAGAATCTGGGCTTACTGGCTATACTTCACTCTCTCAAAGAAAGACAACTTGTTTTCAATATACAAAGTTAATTTGTTAGCTCTCTACGTAAGTCATTCATTCAAAAAATATGTATTGAGCACCAACTATGTGCCAGGCACTTTTCTTAGGTGCCTAGACTCAAGAGCATCAATGAACAAAGTAGTCAAAGCCCCTGCTCTCATGGAGCTTACATTCTAATGGGGAGGGACCAACACTGAAAACACGTTTAAGAAAGAAGCAAATGACCGATGAGAGGTGATAAATACTGTGAAAAAGTGAAAAGACAGGAGACACTAGGGATGGCAGAGTAGTGGTGGGGGGTTGCAAATTTAAGTGAAGTGGTCATGGAAGGCCTCTTTGAGAAGTCAGACTTGAGCAAAGACTTGGAAGACAGTAGGGAGTTTCCAAGTAGACACTCCAGAGATGAGCATTCTGTGCTGAGGAATAGTCCATGCAACAGCCCAAAGAGGGATTGGCCTGGCTTGTGGGGGCCCAGCAGGGAGCCCAGGATGGCCTGAGCAGAGAGTAGATCCACTGGGAAATAAAGAGGATGTAGCAAAGTGGGGTCAGATCATGTCAGATATTACAGATTTATTCTGAGAGAGATAGGAGCCATGGGAGTGTCTTGAACAGAGAAGTGATCTGATTTATGTTCTAAGAGGATAACTCTGACTGCCATGCTGGGAACAGCTTGTGAGTGGGCACACATGGAAGCAGGAAGCCCAGAGAGGAGGCTATTTAGAAATCCAGGTGGGAGATGGTGGTGGCTTTGGCTAGGGTGATTGTGCAGTAGTTGGCATCTTAATAATTACAAAGTTGTCTTTAAGTGACCCACAGACTTGGATGCTTTCAAGATATATAAGAAGATATACAAATGGCCAATACCACATAAAAAGGTGCTCTATATATTTAGTCATCAAGGAAATGCAAATTAAAACCACAATAAGATACATCTTGTCATATCAACTAGAATTGCTAAAATGAGAGTGACTGACAGCACCAAATGTTGGTGAGGTTGTGGAGCAACTAGAACTCTCTTGTGCTGCTGGTGATAGTATATAATGTACAATTCTATACTTAGGCAGTGGCGTGCCAAGGCTGGGGAGAGGGTGGTGTGAGTGGTCTGCCTTAGGTCAGGCAGCCAGGGGGTATAATGCCTGTGGAGAATTTTAAAAAAACAATAATAAAACTAAATCAACTTAAAAAAAAGAAAAGGTGTCTTGTTTTATAATATTTTGCAAGTCTTAGAGTGTTTTTGATTTCACATAAAACAAAGACCCAATAATAAATCTAATAATTGCAATAGTTCATTATGTACTTTCCAAAACCTCAGAGCTACTTCAAAAAAAAATTAGAAAGTTCAAAGATAAAGGAAAGAAATCCTTTTTAATCACACCTAGAAGACAGCATATTTTCTATTCTTCATGTCACTAAAAACTTGTATATGCTGCTGGCTACTATCTTAGACATGATTATCCACTTGCTAGCATAGCTAGGGCAAAAATATATTTTGATGCCCAACTGGCTAACCATGCTGAGCTTCTCCCCAATTGTATGAAGCTATTTGTGAGCGCATGTGAATGGGTGTTGTGTGTATATCATGGTCACATGGGGCATGTAGTGGAAAGTCATCTAAACTATCAGAAACATCATGAACTGTTTACTATTCTACACAAACATTAGCAAAAGTTAAAAGCACTTCTAATGATAAAACTTTGAAATACAGAATTCTTTCAAATATGAAAATATTATTTGAGCCTTGGTTTCAACCACAAATTCAAAGACCTCCTTGTCAAAGATTATCCTCAGCAAGTGATTATAACAAATGCAGAAGACCGTGTCAATTGCTCTTTGTTGACAGCACATTATAAGGAGGACTCTACGTGGTAGATTTACTACACTAATTTAGCCTTAGGCATAATACATGTAAAATAGAGAATGTGACTCTTGTTCCTAGAAACTGCTT